ATTGCATGAGGCAAGAGTGCCGAATATGAGCTTGAGTTTTATATTTGTATCCAATAATGAACCCTTGTGTTTGCCTTCTAGCACTTTTAATCATCCATCTTTCTTATAAAAAAGAGTTGTTACTATAACTATGTAGTAATTTTGTGTGTGTATAATAAATCTTAGAAGGTGCATTAGTTTCCTTATTTTATTTTCACTCATTAAACTCAAAGAAGATTCTTATCCCCCCACCCCACTTAATTAAATATAATTATAAAAAATTTATGATTTTTTAAATATAAAAATTCATTCTTGATTATAAACTTTGAATTAAAATAAGTATTTTAAATCTCAATCAAAATATTAATCATTTATAGCTAAATATTTTTTGTAGGAAGCCAATCGCTTTTGATTGACCATTTGATAGACATCACTTATTTTGAGTTGCATAATTCATTTGTTTTATGTTATTTTTTAATATTTATCTTATTAATAATTATAATTTGTCATGTTATTGGATCTCACACAGTGGCACTTGTGAAATTATATAAATTAGCGTTTTAAAAAAATACTTACACATTGCATAAATTAGCAGTTTAGGATATATTCGTGCAACATGCAAGTTTGCATATTCCAGTTAACAATAAAACTTATTTGAAAATTATTTAATTAAATCCTACGTCTAATAAGTCGAAAATATTGAAATTAAGATACCCCTCCCGTGAATAAGGGGAAAAAAGACACAAGAACTAAATAAGAACATGTTTCTTATTATTATTATTATTATTATTATTATTATTATTATGCACAGAAAAGATAGATTTATATATGCTGAATTCGACTTGATTCATTGTTTGATCCACCTCACAAGATCCAATATTATATGTGATGATTAATGAATTTCACGTGATTTTTAAAAGTATATATTTCTACTTTCTATACAAAAAAGCAGTGAATGATGATCCAAGTCAAATCATTCTTAAGATTATATTATACATTTATAATAAAAAAGCGATTTTGAGAACAAGATTACAAATATTATCCATATCCAGAGGAATTAATAAGTGTGGGTGCAGAGTTAATTAATTCAGTATCTATCATCATTGTAAAGAGGACACAAGTGTGCCAATGAAATATAAGCTTTTTTTAATTTAGGGTTTTCCAACAAAATAAGGAAAGGTAGTGCCTCGTCCTCGCATACTCCTACTGTAAATTATTAAATATTAAATTTGTTTATTTCTCCATCCTATTTAAATATAGGTCACTTTTAATCATCATCATCATTATTATTAGAATCAAAGAAGATTAGTCACCTTGCTAAAATGTCTTAAATTTTAACTATAAACCCTTAGGTGTTAAAATAGCTATTAAATTTAATGGAATTCATACCACATCAGGCTATATAAAATTATTTGATATATATAACATTTAATTTAATTTAATTTATTTAATTAATTTATACTCTCAATTTGCATAAGGACAATTTTGTGATTCTGTATTCATAACAATCTTTGATCCCTTGTCTTGTCTGCTCTCTTCGTCTCTCTCAAGGCCAAATATTTCCTGTTTGCTGCGTGTCATTCAACTTCTAATCATCTTTTTCATTTGAAAATCATCCACATGCGTCCCATTTTCTGTCACATTCTTTCATCAAATCCATAATTGTTTCCTTAAACTTCTGATCATCTTCTTCATCGGAAAATACTAATTAATTTCTTTTTTTGGCCAACGATTCCATAGAATCATTGGAAAGAGCTCATGTCAAAAATCAATCTGGTAGAAATGGAAGGCCAACCACAGACAAACAAATGGCTACATTTTCTCCACAGCATTGCCCCAATGAAATGTTGTGCAAGCTTTGTTCTTTGCCTTGGGCCTTAAATCCCGCTTCTTTCACTATTTACTGGAAAAAAATCTGCCAACAACCTTAAAGATGCTTTCAAATATTTGCATTAAACATTGACATAATACCATTACAAGAATTTAAGAAAGAAGATGACAGAGATGGGACGCATAGGAATGAATTTTCAAATGAAGATCATCATTACAAGATTAAGACCCCATCACTGACATAGAAGACTTGCGCAGAGACGACGAGAGCAAGAGGAAAACACGATGGAAGGCGATAGGAATTAGGTCAGGATAAATTAATAAAATACAATAAATTACATGCTACCTGCCAATAATTTTGAATAGCCTGATGTGGCATCAATTCTATTAAATTAAATGGTCAATTTAACAATAAGGGGTCAATGATCAAAATTTAAAAGTTAAAGGTGTGATTTTTAAACATTTAAAGATGGATGAGGTTATATGTATTTGAGCTACAGTTGATGGAGGTTTTATGTAAGGAAAACATAACTTTTATCTTTATACTTTACTTTTATCTTGTTATTAATCTCTGTATTTTTTTTAATATTATAAATTCTTATATTTTTATTTTTTTTATTAATTTAGGTCCCTCCATAAACAACTTGTAGGGACTTAAAATAATGAAAATAAAAGTGTAAGGATTTAAAATATTAAAAAAATTATAAATATTAAAAGTTATGTTTTTTGTTCTATGTATTATAGCAAAAAAAAAGTAATTAAATATCACAAAAACCCAAGTAAAACTGTTTGTATTTTAGACTACAAATTCATTATAAAATATTATCTATATCTAGAATGGGAGAGAACTAATTAAAGTCAGTGTAACTGATAGAAATTCTTGTTACTTAAACAAGCAAATGGTTTTAATTCAATATAAAAAATAAGCCATATTATTTTTTTTTTAATTTTAGTTTAACAATCCTCAAATTTGATTGGTTAATAGTATCATGTACGGTTATTAAAATTAATTCTGTATTATTGATTTAATTTAATGTAAAATCAAACTCACTCTCAATATTTATTTACTATCTATCCAATTGATATTTTTAAATACTTATTTCATTTGATTTTTTATAAAACATTTTTAAATATGAAAAGTTAAAGAGAGGTGATTACACTTTGACTTATAACAAAGAGCAACCACCTCTCCTAATTTGTGTCTTATAGGTATAGGAGTGAGTTTTTTTTTTTTTGGTGTGGCTAACAAAGAGGTGTATAATTTTAAGTAACTTAAAAAACAAAAAAATTGATATCCCAATGAGAAGCGTCTTTCTTTATGATAAGGGATAGCAGTAATATTTTAAAAAAATAATAAAATAATATTTTCTTCATTTTAAATTATATAGTATTTTTAAATGAATTTTTTTATTTTAAAATATAAAATATTTTAAATAAATTTAGATTTTATTAAATGTATTAATTTAAATATTATTTATTCTCTTTATAATTAATTATTATTATCATTTTTAATATGTTAAATGATGAATATTTTTATTTAAAAAATAAAATTATTATATATATTTAATAATATTTATTAATATATAAAATTTTATTTAAAAATATTATATAATTTAAGATAAAAGAAATATTATTAATTTATAAAATTTTAAACTGAAAAATTAAATTATGAGATGTTGTAAGCCTTTTAAAAGAAAGAGAGAAAACAATGGCCCACAGTTTCTTCTGATTTTCAACCCCGCCCACGGTCCTAGGACAGAACCTGGGAATGAAAAACCGGAAACCAGTCTCCGGTTTTGAGGGAAAGCGGTTTTCGACTATTTCCCGAAAACCAGGAGCTTTCTCTCCTCGGTTTTTTTTGTTTACTTTTTTATTTTCATCATTCCCATCTGAATACGTGGCGATTCGACCCGACTCTGACACTCCATCGTGCTTTACACGCGCTGATCTCAGCTTGTGTATCTTTTCAAGTTATCCTACCCATGCTTACAAGTTACAGCGTTATACTACCTACGGTGCTAGAGATGCAGGGTATTTTAACTATTTTACACTCCCCGCTTTTTAATATTATTCTTATCTCTTGCAATAGTAAAAAGCGTCCGAGGTGAGAAAAATAGTTTAAATCATTGCTATTGTAAAATATCATCCCTCCTTTTTTTAAATATTATATTCTTCAAATATAATAATATATTTTAATTTTTTATATAATCTTTTTCCACAGTATAGCTAATAAAAAATGTGATGTTGTCGCCTGTTTTTTTGAAAGTATCCTACAATTTGAATAAACTTTAATCAGTATAGCTTACCTCCTTTCATTATAATTTTTTTAGTTTTGTATGGAACAAATTAATGGATGTGAGTGAGTGGATTTTTTTTTCCCTCTACACAATCTTGTATCCTTTTTCGTGTGCATTCAGTATTCAGAATCTTTCATATTCTAATTAATTTGTGAATGTTTTCGACTTAAACTTGTAACATTTGATTAAGTTAACACAATGCTTTACTCATTGAACTATGTTTCTTTTTTTTCTTATGAAAGATCAAACGATAGAAATAAAACTAATAAAAGTTACAACTTATAAGTTAGGAAAGGAAATAAAAGAAAGAAGAAAAATGAGGAATCCATTAATAACTGGTTCGACTCATCGAAACTGAGCTGAAAAAGCATGTTTCTTTTCGGAATTGGGAAAGCAAGAAATTCCCATCATGCATGAGAATCTTCGATCATTATTTTGTACTTTTACGCCATAAACAACATATTTTTTTTTGTATAAAAAAATATTTTTGTCTTGTATAATTGCATAAAATGTAGAAGAAATGTACTGTGTCTCAAAATAGTACATCAATTTCTTATGATTTTTAACTTTAAAAATGATTATAATGCAATTGTATATATAGATTTTATATATTCTAACATTATTTTTACCATTTTTAATATTTTAATATAATTTTTGAATTTTTACTTCCTGATAAATTAAATTTATACACCGACATATATATTAAATATCTAAGCACGTCATCCAGTTGGTCAAAAAAAACCAAGTTTGTTTACCACGCGCTCGAGGTGCGAGTGGGAATTTGATCCAGTAAACTCCTGAAATGTGGAAACCATCGTTAAAAGGAACAGACTTTGAAAAAACAGGTGCGTACCCTGTAACCCCAAAAATCCAGCGGCTTCCTTACTTCCTTGCTTTCATTTCACCCTTCCCTCACCTCTCACATATATATACCCTCCTCGCTCTTCAATCCCAAACCTCCCACAATCAGCATTCACAATCTTCTCATCTTTCAATCGATTCCTCAGAATCTCACTTCCGATCTCATCTCTTTCTCACAATCCCTCCCAAGTTTCTGCAAAATGAGGATGAGCTGTAATGGATGTCGCGTTCTCCGAAAAGGTTGCAGTGAGGATTGTAGCATCAGGCCTTGTTTGCAGTGGATCAAATCTCCAGAATCTCAAGCCAACGCCACTGTGTTTCTTGCTAAGTTCTATGGCCGTGCTGGCCTCTTGAACCTCGTCAACGCCGGTCCTCAGCACCTTCGTCCAGGTTCGTTAACTTTACTTTCTCATTTTCTCGCATTTTCTTTCTCTTTCGTGGGGACCAATCGGATGGTTTGTTGATTTTTGTTTCTGTTTAATTTCTTCATTGCAGCTATTTTTCGGTCTCTGCTTTACGAAGCATGCGGGCGAATACTTAACCCGATTTATGGGTCCGTGGGTCTTTTATGGTCCGGGAATTGGCAGCGTTGTCAGGCCGCCGTGGAGGCGGTGCTGAAGGGCAATCCGATCACGCCGATCAACTCCGAAGCCGCCGGGAGTGGTCCACCTCTGAAGCCTTACGACATACGTCACGTGTGCAAGGACAAGAACTCGACTGAGTCGAACGATGCCCAACGGGTTAAGCCTCGGTCGCGGTTCAAGCGATCAGCCGGGAAGTCCAAGAAGGCCAACAAGGGAACCGGGTTGAAGTCTGATGAACCGGAAGAACCGCGCAGTGGGTGCACCGTGTGTTGCGCGGCCGTTGATGAGGTGGCAAACCGGTCGGCTAGTCATGAGTCGTCGCTGAGTCACCAATCGGAGGACGCGCCGCCGGATGTGGCGGTGGCGGTTGAAGGGGAGAGCAAAGAGAGCGAGAGCATGGTTTCGGTTGAAACCGCTGAGACTTCGATGCTCTTCCGGGATGAACCGGAATCAACAGAGAAGCAGAGCGACCGAGCCCACGACGACGCGGGGTCCGACGTGGGTCTGGGTCTGGAGCTGACGCTAGGGATCAAACCGGTGCCACGTGCGGATCACGTGATGCCGGTTAAGAAGAGAAAGATAGAATTTCATGACTCGGATTGCGACTCGGCTAATAAGAAAGCATCATGCGTGAAGCTGGGGCTCGAATGCTCAGCTTGATGTGGGGACGGCTCGGATTTCAATTTTGGCTCAATCGGCTCGACCCTCTCTTCTTGGTTTTAATTATAGAGTCTTGCTTTGCTTAGCTTGTTAATTAATTAGTTATAATAATTTTGGGGTTAAGTTTTAAATGAGAAAGATGTACAAAGATGGTTTGGAATGTAGAGGGAATAGTACGTTTGCATCGTTTGACTGAATTGAAAGGTCTGAGGGGTGAGTACTGAGTACTGAGTACTAAGTACTGAGTAACATAACACAGACAATGCAAAAGTGAAAGAAAAGAAAAAGAAGAATCTTTCTTTTCCAATAAGGAATCATTTTTGTACAATGTTTCACGCTGCTTTAGGGGCAGAATCTCGTACGATAATCAGTGGATAATACGGTGGTCGGATGTTGATAATGCACAGAGCATCTTTAACTTTTTTTTTGTCAAATAAAAATTTGGAACTGTCAGATTGGGGGAGGGAGATTAGAATTAGATCATTTATTTTTTGATCTGAACATTTTATTTCATTCATAACTCTAAGATTTTTTTTTTCCTTTGAATTCTATATAATATTGAGCTAACCAATTTTATGAGAATTTATTTTTCAATGTAAGACTGTTTGTATGTTAATATAGAATATAAAATTTATAACAACGGAGTCATTCACAAGTTAGGATTTTTTTGAAGAACTTGCTTTTCATATTTTTATCATGTGTGGAGCTCAACCTAATGCTTGAAAATTCTAGCAAGTTTTAATGAATTTTTTATGAAGGATCAAAAATTAAAAGTTATTTATGCTAAATGATAATGAATTTATGAAGTTTTGCAAAAATTAATAAATTGTGATGATTGAATTGTCCCCAATTTTTCAATAAAATTTGACTGAATATTAAATTCTTGTGCTGAGACTTATAAATCCATATGTCACACTAATTGTAAATTTGCAAATAAAGATGGGAAGGAGTATTCTTAAAGCTGGACATGTCAGCAGTGAGCGCACGAGAAACCGTAAAAGATAAGTAAGGCTAAAAAATTCCAGAAAAGTGTGAAGGGTTCGAGAATGTAGGCAGCAAAACAACTAGAGTTAAAATTTAGATGACGCTGCTGAGTTGGAAATCTGATCTTCACTGCGAGTGATCATGACAGATTGACAGTCGTCAAGTAGGCTGCCTGAAACTTGGACCGTTCGTTTCCAAAACACATTCCACGGGCTAGCATCTTGTGTCCATATCCTATTATAAAATTAAACCATCAAATTTAATATTCTCTTCGTTTAATATTTTTAAATTAAATTTTATTTTTAATAAAATAATTATTTATTTTTAAATTAATTTTATTATTCATATTAATTTTTATTAAACACCTATAATAAATATAAAGTCATTATTAATAGTAACACTTAAAAAAGATAATAATAATACCTAAAAAAAATAAAAATATTTTATATTTTTAAATATCTAAATCCTCCAAAAATGTTTTATATTTTTAAATAAAGAGAGTATTAAACTAGATTTTTTGACCGGTGCAAGGTTGAGAATTTTTATTTTAAAAGAATTACTTACATGTTCTACTTAAAATAATTAATTATTCTCATAGTGATTAATAACTGAATTTAAAAAAATGATAACATAGAATATGTTGTCATCATCCAAAACTCAGTTATCATTGAATATGGGAGTAATTAATTGTTTGAGACCCTAAAATAATCCTCCCATATTTTTTTAACTTTTATATAATTACTGTAAAAACTTTAGTATGCTTGCGATATTTTATAATGTATTGCCCTCATAATACTAAAAATTATAAATTTTTTTAAATTTAGCATATCATGCAAAATAAAATTAGCTTATTTTCTTTAGGAATTTGTTGGTCAATGCATGGTGAGAAAAATAAAACATGTATTATCATGAATCACACACTATAATTTATGTCATAATAATATTTATAAATCATAAGTATAGTTAAAAGTAAAAAAATTTGAATAATGATTTCAAATTAAGCAAGTAAAATAACCAATGTTGTACTACTATTTATTAATAATATATTTGCATATAATGATAAAAACAATGACTAAGAGAAGTTTAAGATTAGGAGGTGCAATGAAAAATAAATTCATCGACATCATAGGATTAAATTTGAAGTACCTGATTGCAATGTTTTATAGGTTTTCAAGTTGAGGTATACTTGTATATATTAATAATATATTTGTTACCTCATGCATATTAAAAATATCCACAATAACTTATTTTATTTTCACATATACTATTTTATAATTCGTCACTCCTATGTATATGAAAAGTATGATAAATAATTTGTTGTCTCATGATGTGTTATCCTCACATAAATTAAAATTTAAATGAAAATATATTCTACTTTGTATTTTGTTACTTTGAAATAAAATTATATTTATAGGTGAAATTTTAAAATTTATGTATTATTATATATAATATAAAATTTAAATAACTGATTATATTGAAAATAAAAATGACATCCCCTATATATTAAAAAAATTGAATTTAAATTCTCCAAAATTGATATCTATAGATTTTGATTGAAGTTTTCTTTTCTCAATATTTTTTTATTTTATTATTTTTGTGAAACATAAAATTTTTCTCTCTCTTTCTTAAAAAGAAAAATTTCACAAGAATTTAAAGATATCAATTTCAAATAATTTAAATCCTAAACAATTATATATTAAAATTTGTTACCTGTATATATTAAGAATAAAAAATAATTTATTATTTCTATACGTATTATTCTCATATTAATGAAAACTTAAAAAATAAAGCATTCTGTCTTATAATCTGTTATTTAAATCTGTATTTTATTATGCAATTTATTTTTTTAATATACAAAATACAAGCAATAAATAATAGAGTATCTTATACATATCATTTTTACTATGAATGTTATATCTGCTATTAATTTTTTTACCATCAACCTCACATTATTTTTTCTACCGAGACCCATGCGTTGTTTTAACAAAAACAAAACATGATATTTTAACATACAAAATATTTTTTTATAACAACAACAACAACAAAATATGCAAAATATTTTTAACCATAGATGAACAGAAACAATAATATGCTTTACATATATATAGAGATAGATATAAATTAACCAACAAATGTTACTTTGGATGATGAAGTCTTAGCTTATAACTCATGAGATCATGAGTTCCTGCTACTGATTTGAGAATTTTATTAGAAAAAAATTCATGAATACCCCTGTAATTATTCTCTGAATTTTGACATATGATGAATCCTGAAATATAACTCACCTAAATTTTTTTACCAAAAGACATTAATATTAAATTACTCCAACTGTTGTCTTTTTCTATTTTATAGTTTCATTTTTGTAAGAGTATAATGCAAAATATAAATAATCTTTTAACATTCAATTTAATAAAAAACAATGTTCCAATTGAGAAAAATTAAAAGAAAATAAAAATCTTCCTTTTACCTTCAATCAATTTGTTTACATAAATCAAGAGTTATCATCTTCACCTCTTCCAAAAAAAAAAAAAAAAAAAGGTTCTTTGTGCATGATAGAAACAAATGCAACCGTGTCATTCTAAAAGTGGGGACGCAGTGGACAGAAGCGAAGGGGAACGGAAATTGTCTGAGGCTGAAGTGATGGTATTGTCATGTGTTGTATATGTACAGAGTTGGAAACAGGCGAGCTCAGCTCATATGAACTTAAGGTACAAGTTAAAGTGGATCATTTTTAAAAATTTGATCCTTATTTAAAAAGTTTAAAACCAAGCCAACAAGCTTGTTTTTGGTTATTTATTATTTTTGAAAAAATTAATATTTACAATATAATATTTCATATTCTTTTTTTAAAATACAAATTATAATTTTTAAAAATTAAAAATAAATAATATAAATTTAATTTTAAAGTATAAATTATATTGTAAAGTCCAATTTCAAATCAAAAATTGAATATATTCCATTTTTTAAAAGTAAAACAAAAACAAACAGCCCCGTTTTTACATAGCTTAAACAGATTAAGCCTAAGAAGCCAGTTACACTAAAATTCCCCAGTTTTTAAGCCTAAACTTATATAAAAACGGGCTTAGCATTTTCTGTAACCATATTTCCACTTTTAGCCCTGAATTCTCCGTTTAGGAATAGTAAATCCTTGATTGTCAAATCAGAAACCCTAAGTTCAAAATATTACATCACTAAAAATTAAGGTAAACAATATTCCAGATTGTGTGCTGTGCCTTGCACAAAGTCTATACGGCGAGTCGGATTATTCACAAGTTATGTTATATATGGGTATATAAGTAAGGTAATTGCGACTCGTGCTTATGATTAACATCTTCAGCATCTGAACCATAACATCAACTTTTACTGTGTTTTCCAGAGTCCAAATAAAACCTGAATATATATCCCATAAATGGAGAGGAAATTAGTTAAACATTCAAACATCTGAATACAAAAGCACGTATGAATAGAGATGAAGTGAAAATTACATGACAGGGTTATGAGCCATAGCTAATACGCATAAAATGGCGTCATCTCTGGGTCCAAATATCCAACAGGGAAGTATCAAATGAGCTTCTTTTTCTATTCTATTCATTCCAATTTGACATGATTATCCCACATCCATTGCTTTAAATTTGTACAAAGTGCTACAAGCACAAACTGAGAGAAGCAGAGATTCATAGTTAGCGCTTCAAAGAGGAAAGGATACTTCTCTGGAGGGCGCATGACCAAGTAAACAACATGAAGAATAAAACACAGAACATTTAAGATCAGACGCATGATCCTTGTGCTGAAATAGTAACTACTCTCTTCATTTCTGTTCTGACCTGGTGCAAAGAATATGAGGATAAATAATGCAAATGAAGCCAAATATGCGAGAACAAGTCCGTCGCGGCATATCAGAGGGAACATGGAGAACATGGCAAATTGCATGAACCATCTGAACAGAAAAGGCTCTTCCACAGCAAGAAGGCTTGCAGGCAGAAGGGGCAGCAAAATGGACTTCTCGTGCACTGTATAAGACACAGAAGAGCTATTAGATCTTCATAATGTATATGACCATAAATAATAAAACAGAAAATTATGTCTTCCTCCCCTAAATTAAGTTGTGATTGTAAAATAAGTACTTCTCTTGTCTTATTTACAAGACAAGGAGTATTTGTTTTGATCTTATTTATAAGTTATCTCTGTGATTCCCATGTCCATCTTTACTCTTTTGCTCCTATTAAATATTGGGGTATTTTATTTTTAAGTATGTATATTTAATAAAGATAAAATTAAAAACTTATTGAATTTTTAGACAGAGTTAACAAGGTTTAAAATTTTTCTTGGCTTCAGTAAAACAGGTTGGAAGTATTATAAATAGGATCGGGAGGAGTACATAAATTGACAAGGCAACAAACACCTCGTGATCCTCATGCGTCAGATATATCCGCAATTTTAACACAACACAATGCCAAGCAGTGAAAATTGAAGCAAGCAGACTCTTGCAGCTGATTTAAGATTGGTATTTAATGTTTCATGTTAAAATCCGAAGTTTAGGCAGGTGTTTTGTCACATTTTAAAGTGTACACACCAATCTTGTAACAAAGCCTTAGCTCAAGAAAGTAAAATGTAATTTTCCTGTAAGAATAATCTAAATTTCATGCGAAATAAAGAAAAGTTATACCGACCTTGGAAAGAGAATAGGTAAAATGAGATTGAACTAGTTAGTAGCCCGTAAAGGAAGCCTTGGTTGCTAGGAGATTTTATTTGTTGAGTCATTGAAGGAAGACAAGCTAACACTGTAGCCGTGAAGCTGAGAAGTTTCAGCGATTGTGTTGTAAACAATTTCTTCCACTTGATCAGAATTGAAGAGGTGCACCAAAAATTGGCAACATAATCCTCATATATCCCCCTCTCAAAAGGAGCAAGACGAGAAAGAACCTGTTCCAAGTACAATAAAAAGAGTATACACTCAAACATAGATACAATGCCATAAAAGGCACCACGGATTAAGGAAAGTAAAGCACAAAAACACACCTTCTAGTGGCAAATAATATCGCACTTACCTCCAAAATGGATTCCATTGAATACAGATATGGCCACCACACAGCTGCAAAGGTTCCTAAAACAACCAGCCCCAGTTTTGCCACCTCTAAGAGTGGATATTTACGCCTTAGGCATTTACCCAGGAGATGGCTGAAAAAAGCAGGAGCGAAGTATATACTCATCTGCAGGGGCAGGCAGAAACAGTTATCCTCCCATTCCCGAAATATCATCAGAGTGAAAATAAACTACTTATTACTAATACATATTGTTGTCTATGCCATTACTGCTGCTTGCTATTTACCTAACAACCTCATAAAAATGTTCAAATAAACACCTAGGAGAAATGCAATCCCCTCAAGAAACAGTCAAGTCAATTCACAGAGTAGTAATCAAGATTTATCTTGGATCACAAACTTCATTGATTCACAAAAATTTACAGGCTAGGCTAAGAAGTATATCAGAGTGAAATTCAAGAATACAAATTAACTGATAAAATCCAATTATAGATCTCAAAAGAGAACCAGTTGCACAATCCAGACAATTAACTTCCAATTTTATTGACCTCCCAAAGAACAAGTATATGAATATGGAATGAAGCAGACAGGCAATGAAATGCCATTATGAGAAACAATTGTACCAAAAAAACAGCATATACTAAATTTAAATAACTTTCCACCTCAGCAGCATACAATCATGAATGACCATATAGAAACAGTATAATAATGGAAAGCAGTCAACAACAACCACCAACCTTATCCCACTAGGTGGGATAGGTTACATGGAAATCGAAAGCAGTCAAACTAAAGAATAATAGATCAATTCAAAGATGAAGAAAATCAACCTGTTTATGATTTATGGCTAGACAATACAGAACACAGGCAAAAAGATATTGTCCAGAGAGGATAGCAGCAACAGCTCCAGTACTGAGCCCCAAGCTAATGCAGTTGAACTGAAACACAGTAAAAGCAATATTTTTAAACTGAGGCACCACCGTTGGTGGGGAAAAAAAGGGGTACTAAACCTGAAACTGAAAATAGGAGAAAAGGGGGTGGGGGCCGAGGAATGAAATGGAACAATGTCAGAATTTAAATTGGGAACCTGAAAATGACCGTGATCAATTAAGATCAAACATGGATTTAGTAAAAGCAAGGCTGTGTGCCACCAAATGTCACGTTTATGGCATCTTGAAGGTTGATTGTAATAAACAATAATGAAGTATATGATAGATGGGAAGAATATAAGGGCATCGGAAGATAAAACTGTCCACCTCATGAGTAGTTTTCTGCACAACAGAGATGCATTACCAAAATGGAGAAAAAGATTAAAAAAATAAAAATAAAATAAACTCATCAGCAAAAGTTAAGTCAAGAAAACGAGTAAACTAACAATCAGTCGCTAAATTATTAGACTCACTTAGCTTTAGTCCCCAAAAATCAGGTGTAAAAGTTAGTTCCTAAAAATAATAAGGCCATCAAATTTAAGTCCTTTATCAAGTGCTTCGGGGACATTGAAAGAACAAACTTGTGAAGAGTATTAATTTCAGTCACTAACTTGCACATCCCCTAGTTTCAGGGAATGAAGCTAAACGGTGTGATAATTTACAGACCAAACTGTTAGTTTACTCTTATTCATAAGGCATCCATTAAAAGGACCCTAAATAATGAAATGAATTAAGTACCCACCCAAGATAGGACTCATGACCTCTGGAACTAAATAGAGAAACTGAATCAGGGTGGAAAAATCTGAGAAAGAGGCCGTGGATGAAACTTTGGTAGGCAGTAAGCGGCGGGTAGTCAAGTCCCCAGTAGCTCAAATCATTGGTGGTGCTATTGCGGTACCACTCCCTAACTGGAAGGTTAAGGGTAATCTCCATCCAATGTCTCTGTGCCTCATAGTCCCCATACTTTGGAGGGTGTCCAGCGCCAGAATAAGGATGGAGTGACACAGCTGCGCGAACCAAAAGTGCAAACACTGCCACAGTAGCAAATATAGCCGCGGGTTCTCTCTGAATTAACCATCGCCAACAATCGTCCACACCATCATCCACATTTACTGTTTTCCTCTTTCCCTTTGTCATGCTTAACTATCAACTCAGTTCCGCCAGGATATGTGATAGAATAATATCTAAAACTAAAAATGGAGAGAACCAAAAATCAGAAAAGAAAGAAAAGAACTGTCCATTAGATAGCGGTCAATTGCAGAGATTCATAACAACTAATTCACAAATCACAAGCAATTGCACCGAGAAATATCTCAATTGCAGATCCAGTGACCAAAAAAGGGGGGGTCTAGCCATGAAGCTTTTTAATTTGTTCAGGGATGCCCCCAAAACCTTGTTCCAGTAGTTCACGCAATATCATAGGCGGACCTATAAACCTTTAAGATATGCATAATTGATATAATACCTTTTTAATTTCTGTTCCAGATACTTGACGACGATGCCTTAGTAAGCAATTGATTCGGGCAACTCCTTCAAGCCACTGAGGCATGATAACTTAAACTCAAGCTTCGAAATTTTTAGAGACAAGTCGATCCAAGTCATTTACCAGATCATGCAACACAAATAACTTGAAAATTTTCTAAATTGATGATCACATGAAGAGATTAATACACAAAATGCCAATACACAACAAATCCAACATTGCACAACAAGACAATCTCACCGGATTTTGGGAGTAGACAAAGCCCTTTTTGAATCCTTTCCCGAGAAGAACTACGCGAGCCTGACAACGGTGGACAGCGTCCGACGGCGAATCGACCAAGTGTGTGTTTGGATAACCTCAGTTGGGGTGCCAAAGGTCCATTAGGATAGTAAAAATTGTGTTTGGATAAAAACTTTTTGAGAAGAGCGTTGAAGAGAAAAGCTCGTTCCAACTGAAGCCAGAAAATAGACCGTTGGGTGAAACGCGCGGTAATGAGCTTCCTACTGCGACTCGCCTCTGTCTTCGTTCTTCAGGAAGCCATTGCATCCTTCTCTCCTCGCCATCGTCGCCTATCGTTGCCTCCTTCTCTGCTCGCCGCCGTGTCGTCCGTTGGGGTCGTAGGTTCCGCCGAGGTTGCTGTTGTGGTTGATCTGTCTTGCTCACACTGCCAGACCAGAGAAGCTCTTCGGCCTATGCTTCTTCTTCGACCTTGCAGTCACCCTCCCTCTGTTCTAACTTTCTTCAACCTCTAACAGACGCCGGATCAGCTCAATTTCTCACCAGATTGATAGAGGAGGAAGGGATGAGTTCCTTGGTCTATCGGTTATTATTATAATAATTATTATTGTTATTTTTTTTTTCTTTTGCCAATAGGTGTACCTTAGCTGTTAAATTTAAGGAAAAATTGGTCAAAATGATGAGGTTAGAAAGGCAATTAGTCTCAGGGACCAAGTATTCTTGAAAGATCAATTGTATTATTTTATTTATTTAAAAATTTCATGATCTAATTAAAATGTTCTTGTCTTAAACAAAAAAATTTGAAAAGAAAAATGACCCTTGCTTCTTCCTTACTTCACATGATTTGAATGAAAGAAGTTAGCAAGGGATGTTTTTGATAAAGTATCAACTATGGTCTAAGCTATGAACAAATTATAAGCAATATGTTTTAAAATAGACAACCCCATTTTCAAGGTGCCCTAATTAGATGAGTTGTGGTTGACGAGTCTTGAGTGATTTTAAAGTGCTAATGGCCTGAGTGATGATCGGGTACATATTATGTGTCAAAACTTCCATTTTGTCCGAGCATGATTTTGGTTTTTTCTTATTGTGAGTTGCTTCTTCTCTTCTTCATGTTGTCTAAACTTTAGTGAAATGCGTGACAATAGTTGTGATCTTCCTAGTTTTAACTTGCACCAAAATCAATAGTCATGTAAGTGTCATTTGTTTAAAAAAAATCTTCTAATAATTATTATAGCTTAACCTCGTGAAATTGTTGTCAATTGTGGTTGTTCTTCATATCCAAAGGCACATGCTTCTTGTAGTATGCATAGGTGTGCACATTTCTCATTATCCTTTACTAATTGCCTCTCAACTTCCTCATCCTCTACATCTACCATAGTTGATTTGTCCAAGTCCATAAGTGCGAATTTAATGATAAATCCTTCTAATTCAATATATTGGCATGAAGATATGATGCCTTTGGTTTGAAAATTATGATTCCTTTTCTTATTAGTTGTCTACATACTATCCTACTATCATATAAAAATTCCTCTAAAGCTGTCACAATCTTTCCACCCATATGAAATAAGTAATATATTTCATTCTCTTACATACTAATCATTTTACTATGTAAGATAATGAAAAAAAAAAAGCTTTACAAATGAGGAAAATACATTGAAAACAAGGAAGTAAGGAACTAATGTCATGTGCTTTTTAAGTGTGATGCAAGTGTTGTGGGTCATGTTTGGTAGTGAAAATTGCAACCAAAAATTGCATCATAATATTATTGTACTATTCCAAAATCACTCTCCATTGATACTTTTATACTGTATGTTGTAAGTATTGCTTCTAATTTTCAAGGTCCCAAACTTTAGAGGAAACTCTATTTACAAGTCAGAGATAGTACCTTGACAATTTCTTAGGCTAGATGGATGTTGGAGGAAGGACAAAAAGTCAGTTGAACCACATTTACATTGAACAAGAGTTCCCCTACTTTCAAACACACGAACAAAGCATCCATTAATGGCGTCTAAATAAGGTCAAATTAAGCAACAACTTCACAAACAGAATAATCTTCAGCATTCATAGATTAAAAAAGTAATACCTAACTTGTGACAACTTCATCCACCGTGCTCGATGGAAGACAGTCATCAGACCACTATGCTCAAGCACTCGCACACGGTGCTCCAATATTCAAAAATCTCGACAGCCTCTTCCTTCATTTATTGCTTTTTCCCCTATGTTTTAGGGGTATTTTGGTCAAACAATAGAATTATTAAATGAATAAAATCATAAGTTTGGTCTTTCAAGCACATTTGATCCCTAGAATCAATTTCCTTTCTAACCTAGTCTTTTTGACTAATTTTCCTAAAGTATTATTATCTTAAAAATATTTTTGAATTTTCTTATATTGTCTATTTACATCATATTTAAATTTAAGTACAATAGAATATAATTTTTTTTCTTTTACCTATAAGTATCATTCTAATAAAGATAACTAACATTTATTTCTCCGTGCAATGCACAAGAAGAGTTAAAATATGAGAAATTGAGTTCAGTGAAATACTAGTTACAATGCATGAATGTATTATAATTAAAATACGAAGTTTTAAGAGAGTGCAATTATTATTTATCCTGTCCAAGTAACAAAGATATGTCGAATGACAATTACTAATCATTACACTCTATAAAACTACATGTAAATTCACCTTCTTCATGTCAAATTATGAAATATCTCATGATATGCCACATTCATTGTTGCACTTCATTTATTGCAACTATCATCATTCAATAGTATTCTTAAACCATCAACTCTTTTCACTCAAGAAAGAGCAACATAAAGTTGACTATATGTAAAAACTGGCTTTATCAAATACAATCCCACAAAATTCAATAATTGACCTCGGCTCTTATTTATTGTCATGGAAAAGGATAAAGTAATGGAAAATTGTCTTCTTCTCATTCGAAATGGAAATTTATTTTTTGAAAAATTCATGTCCATTCTATGAATTATGACGTTTTCCTCATATCTTGGACCAGTCAATGTTATAGCCTCGATGACTAACTTACCAAGTTTTGTGATCTTGAGTCTAGTTCCATCACATAAACCTGTAGCTCGGTCAACATTCCTCATAAGCATTATTAGTGTACCAATCTTCAAAACAAGTCTATGTGGAGGTAAATTAGAGCTATTAATTGTATTCCAAAATTCAATAATATATAAATTTTTGAATGAATCAATATCTTCAAAGAATTTACATATAGAATCACAAATATAGTATTAAATTAAATCCCCTATTAGTAAAAAACACATGTAATCATTGATGGAATTCACAACTTTTATTATTGGTGCAAGTTTGGCTCTATCATTAAAATAGTCATTATTAGTAATATTGGATAACAAATTTAGGTATATTTCTTTAACAATTGATAATGGATCGATAGAGCTAGTGATCAATAACTTCAAGGGAATTTTAATTTCAGCAATGCCATCAATTGATTCACCCATTTCCCATCTCCAACTTTCAAGAGCCATAGTGAGAATTCTTTTAAACATGGATCTGCAACCCTATTTGTTGACTGCAAACGTCAATTCTTTGTCAAATGGAAGATTTTGCAACAATCACATAATTATAAAGAGCTAATACATGCATTAACAATTGATGCTCTTACACCCTTTAGTATTATAGGTAAGATTGGTCTAAAATCACCACCTATGAGAATGCATTTACTACCAAAGGACTTATCACAATTCATTATATACTTGAATGTCTTGTCAAAAGCTTCAATACAATACTTCTACTAATAATAACTTTAATTGGGAGTAACTTTCTAAGTGTATTTTTAATATGTTTTTTGAGTAGCTTTGTAATTTTTTTTATAAAAAAACTTATATATTTAGCCTTGAGCTTGCTTTTAATTAAATTAAAACATGTGAATCTTTTGTCAATTATGTTTTCTATAAAAAATTTTGTTATTAATATTAACAACACATTATAATTTACTTATTTTAATTTGATTGAACAAAAATATATTAAATATATAAGATTAAGTATATAAATTTTATTTTTTATAGGCCTCTTTCCTATCAAATTGTATTAAAAAAATAAATATTTCATATTAAATATATTTTTATAATGATTTTATTTAAACTTTCATCATTCAAAATGTTAAATGTAGTTTTTTAAATAAAAATACAAAATGTACTTTTAATACTTACTTTTGAAGCATTTTGATAAAAATAAAACCAAAAATAAAATTAAAATTGGAAAAGAAAATGAAAATAAATTCAAAAATATGTTAGATAAATTTTAAGCTGATAAATTAAATTTTAAATGTGAAAATACACTATTACCCCTCCAAGCAACTCCTCCACTCCATCCATCTCTTCCTCCCTCATCGATCATCACGTCATCACCAAGCACCACCACCCGACATACCAAATATAAAAATCAACCCCACAATCCAGAATCATCCAACAAAAATCAACAAATTTTAAGTCAAAACAAAATTCGAAACAACAATTAAAGAGGCATGTTGGTCGAGAGGGGTGAAGGGGATTTGGGTAGTAGATTCTAGAAGAGGAATCAGAGCCGTTGGTTATTGAAGATGACGGTGGCTTCCATTGCCAAATCATTATTGACGGCGGCTTCCATGGCTGAAATCGAAGATGTCACGCCTTCGAACCAGAGATGATGAGCTTCGGCGGACGGTAAGAAGGTGACGAGCTTCAAACAGCGGAATGCTTCGAACGAGAGCTTGCTACAAACAGATTTGACGAGCTCTGAACGCAAGTGAGCGAGTGACAAGCTTTGAACAACGAATGGCTTCAAACTAGAACTTGGTGCAACTAGACCTGAGAAGCTCTAACGGCTGAGGAATCGACGGTGAAGACTTTCAGTGACGATGGCCAGGACAAGGAGTAGCGATGGACAACGACGCTGGGTAGCTGGAAGGTCCAAGAATCTAATGGGTAATCGTCGAAAATTGAAAAATGACCAAGGGTGTTTTGGTCAGTAGCGTAGCCATAGTCCAGGAATTCTAATTCCACTCTCTTGAATTTTAATTCCTGTTGAGACAAATTTCTCCCAACCAAATGAAAGAATTTTTTTCTTTCCTCTCCCTTTTCTTTTCTCAGGCCTTTTCTCAGGCCTGAATTCCAACAACCAAATAAGGCCTAATTCTTACAAAATACTTTCAATGAATTACACCGGACCTACAGTTAAATTGGAAATACAATTGAAAATTGTTAACATATAATTTTATAATTTAATATATTTTTATTTTTATCACGATATTTCATCTATGATATGCCTCACACACACAACTTTTATTCCCAAAAATCTTTAAAACATTTATATTTATAAAATCTTAACTATTTAACGTTAGCCATAACATGTATATCTAATTTGGTTTTATTAATATTATTAATTAGATACTTAGATTATAACAAAATATGGGTCTCATATTAAGTAAGCCAAAATTAATAAGTCAAAATGCATAATCTTGTAAATTTTCACAAACCAAGTATGATCTGAAAGCTGCACTGCTAAAAGATTTTTAAACCAGAGAACTGATTGCCGACTATCAAGCTCATTTAGAATCCATTTTAAAGTATCTGAATTGTCTTGCTAGCCTACCAGACGTAATCAATGGATGTAAATATAATTGAATAAAGACCATTTACTGGAACCTCTTTGAATAAATCACTTCAAAAATGGTACCATAACATCCAAAATTTCCAATAAGCATAGACATGAACTTTATTTGCATACATCATGCACCTTATAGCCGAACCACTTAATGCAAATCTGTACTCTGATGCACAAACCGCTTTAAGAGGTTGCTTGGGACAAACGACCAAGATTCCACAAACTGCAAAACAAAGGTTCCATGCATTTCAAACTAAGGAACTGCAAGGGACTCAAAGTGGCTTTGTATCGACCATAGCTTCCAGTATCCTTTGTTCCAGTTCAGGTTCCTCAACCCACAATGAACTTTGCTTGTGCAACAACTCTCTCTTCTCTTTTTTCTTCTCTTCATGCTTTCTCATCATCCTCCTCCATGTTTCAAGTTTATCTGCTCTTTCCTTTAACTATACACATTCAAATGAGAAATCAGTGACAGAAAAATTTGGCCAAACTTTTAAAGTAAAAATGTGGATGCAGAATATGAAAACATGTGGGCAGCCAATATAATTGATTATTGATAAAAGTTCCTCACTCAAAACATATCGCTTTACTGAAATTGTGACTACACGTATAACGACAATAAATGGACATTTGTAACAAACTAAAAATGCAACAGTTCACCAATAATTGTGGCATGAAGATCAAACAAATTATCGCGTCCTGCCTACTATAATAATTTCTAAGCAAAAAAAAAAAAAAAAGGCATCACTCTTTGAATCCAAAAATTGAAAAGTGTTTCCAATACCATATAATCAAAGAAGAGTTGGTATCATCGTTGGCAGATTTCCCAATCAAAATATGATGGAAGAATTATTTCGCAACTTAACACCATATGATGGGTCTTTTTAATTTTTTTTCTAATGGAAATTTTTTATTAGAGAAATCAATACCAAATACATAAGGAACTTTACTTCAGTTTAGTCTCGTCCAATGCTACTTTTCTTTGTTCCATCTTTAGCAAGCAGAAACATTTATTGTACTCAATCTCAATTGTTCTTCACTTCCACGTCACTTGTCCTCCTGTGAGAGCATAGCATGACATTATCATGTGTCGACGGAGATAGATACAAAACATGAAAGATCCTTACACTTTGTGGGGTCCACCGCTTAAGCAGAAGCCTCTATTCAAGCGAATATGCAGCTCTCTTTCCTCATATAACAAAGTTATGCTATCCTCTCACACGAGAGATCCAAATCCATAGTTTACTTGTCATCTACTCTTTTCATATTGCTACTCCCCCAACCCCCCTCCCCTTTTTATTTTTTACATTGCAAACACAAAATGCTTCAATGCGCTATAGGTTTTCCTTCTACTAATATTTAATAATTATTTATGGACAATTGATATACTTCCAATAAACTTTTTTTAATTATTATTTTTAATTTATAGGTTGTTGAGGATTAGAGAACTATCTATTTAGCTAAAACTTCTTCTTGGATGCCCTAACAGAATGCCATCCATTATACATGATCTAACTTTAAATTACACTATTTAAAACAACAAGGACAAGAAAATTCGACTATGCATGTGAGATGAATTCATTTCAACATTGTTGTTCAGGCATCAATGTGGAAGACCAGCTAAGTCATACAAACAGCCTTCAAAATCAATTTTTATCTTCTGTTCGTTTAAACAGACAGGTTTAACGAAGCTTTGGATTTGGAGTACAGGATTGTGATTAATGCTAGCTTGGCAATACAGAGAATTATATGATTTCCTTGTTTTCACAGAATTTCCATCAAAATTATATTATTCACTTCATTGATAAAGTCAACAATAGGAAGCCTATTTATACTAACCCTGCAAGGGTACTGTTGTCTGAAATTTTGCCTATTTTGGCTATGATTATTGGAACATGATGGCTTTGTAACTCTTGTAACAGTAGAAGGAATAAACAGAGGAAGTTATTATTCTGTTTCTTCAGGGGTGGTCCTTCAACTATTGTTAGATTTTTTCTATTGATGAGACCCCTGCTGAGTAACAAATAAAAATGATAAGCATTCACCAGGAGGGAAAAGCATTATAGTGGGCATCTGGCATATATGAGAAATATTCCTTCTGAGGTGTCATCGGTTAAGTACATGGATGACATGGGTAAAAGATTGAGGGTGCTATGCAAAAGCTGACCCCATGGCAGTTGGCAGAGCTCATGAAGCTGAAAAACTTCAAGAACTGGCTGCACAGTTTGATACTCGTAAGTCTTTCAATCTTAGTTGTTCCCTGAGTGGGTTGAAATTTAAGGTAGAAGCTCTATTTCAAATGTTCAAACTAACTTCATTGATTAGTGCCATGTACCGAGGAAAGATACAAGAGATGGCAGTGCTCCCAACAAACAGTGAGAGTTTATCTCTAGCAAATTCTCAGTGGATGTAGAGGCGTTATCAAGCAATATCCCATCCAGCCTGAAGATCACACAAGTTGAGGTTCAGGCTTTAGTGGGCACAACTTCAGGTCAGGTCAGCTGATCAAACCAGCTCCCACACTTCACCTGACATCTAGCAAAGCCATGGATTTGACAAATCTCCAGGAGGTAAGCAAGAAGGAGATAGAATACAAGAGGGAAAAAGAGGTGTCTTTCTGGTGCCCAAAAAAACTTGTCCCAGGCCATTAGTGCCACACCACTTCCCAGAATTTCATGGTTATTGTTGTTGAGGAAGATGAGAATGAATATTTACATGATTATGTTGGGAACGAGACCTCCCCATTCAAAGGCATTACATTGAGTTGGATAGTCATGCATGCACCAGCCTAACGCCCAACCTCTTGAGGACAAGTAGTTTCTAATAGGGAGAACAGTTTATATGGGGAATTGTGTCGCTTTTATATGTTTGGTGTGTTTCCACTGTGTTGCTGACTTGAGTGTGTTATTTATTGTGTGTTCGCCTTTCTGTGCATGTTTGGTGCCTACTTAGAATGAAAATAAGATGCTAAGTCAGCATAGGAGGAGCATGGTGTTACTGGGTCAGCTGGTGGAGGCACCATTTATAGCAAACACTAATCTGTAATCAATGGAGTTCCTCATGGTAATATTAGGACTATGATGCGTCTTCTACAATCAGATTAGAAAATTAGTGAAATTGGATTGTGTTTTTCTGGCTTTCGTAATAATTAGTTTCTTTGTTCCATCCTAAATTTACCCATTTTTCTTGGAGCAGCATTCAGGATTACATCTAGTCCAATAGTTGAGGATTTGGCCATCCAGTATTGCGGACAGCCAAGCAGACAAAATTTAATTACCTACATAATACAACACTAAATATGATATTACCAAATTCTGTCGAGATATCACATTATTACTTAACAATATACTAGGCTTTATTATATATATATATATATCTATATAAACATCAGTATGGCTAGTAAACCATTCCCATCTTCCACTATTTGGATTATCTTTCCTGTTAACTATTTCGTTATCCTATAAAGCACTTCCTTAGACCTAACAGAATCCCAGAAAATAATAGAGAAAACCCAAAAGATACAGATAAGAAAAATGGATGGGAGGACACATACAAGGGTTTGTCGAAATTCTTCCAGGGCAATCTTGCGTTCTTCAGCTTTGACCTTAGCAACCTCAGCCTTAAGCTTCTTACGCTCTTCATTAGCAACCCTAATGGCCTCCCTCCGAGCATCATCCTTCCTCTGCTTCTCGAGCCTCATGAACTCCATCTCCTGGATATATGCCTTGCGAACCTCCTTGACCTGCTTGGCATAGTCTCTTCTAAGCTGGGCAAGCCTAGCCTCCGCCTCCTTTGGGTCCTTGGGAGCCTCCCAACTTCCGATGAAGGAGTTGGGTTCGAGGAATTTGTGGTTCTTTTTGTGATCATTATGGTGGGAAGGCTTTGCAGAAGTGACAAATGAGCGTAGAAATACAGAGAACTGAGAAGATTTACGGAGCAAGGGTTGAAGTGTCGTCATTTGTGAAAGGCTAGTTGGAACCTAGAAGCAAAAGAAAGAAAATCACCAGCTTACAATTCAATTCGCTGAAGAAGCAAGTTTAAATTCAAGCAACAAGCTACCGAAGTTTAAATTTCCTGCTCCCCTCGGGATGTTTCATTCAAGAGAAACTCTTTATCAAAACGGACAATGATCAATGTGAGAGGAGTACAAGCTGAATATAAACTCCATGATACAAGCTCCCATGTAATTTTGCACCCAATAAACCAATTGCGGGTAACTACACTTGGACTTCATAGTTTATAGATGTCGGTCCAAGAATATAACTCGTTCAGAACAAAAAAGCAGCATACTTGTAACAGATAATTAGAAATTTATAACTGCGACAACAATAGGGCTAGGCTACCCATAATAAAGGTTACGAGGTCCGGCTGCTATAGGGCTCTGGCAGGAGAAATAAGTAAGAAATGCTCAGAGAGTGCATGCAATGGTCAAATTGAAAAAGTTGAGCAACAAGATACCAAAGAACATAACCAGATAAAGAATCTGTCAAACTAAACCAAGCAAGACCAAATAACCAAGAGTAAGAAATCAAATTCAACAAAATTAGAACCGCACTGAAAAGAGGACCATCAATTCTCTAGCTGAGCAAAGCTCCAAAGTTCAGTTAAATTAATCGACTGAAAGCCCACCCTAGAGAAATATTTACAGAAGAAATAGTATCGATAAAAAACACTTTATTAAACTCAAGCATCGCAGTAACGAAGATAGAAGGATCCGTACTGTAAAATGAAGCCGACAAGAGAAACAAGGACAGAGAAGTGGTGCCACCGAGTGAGACGGCGAGGCGAAAGGCGGCGAATGGTGAGGGGAAGGCGAGGATGAGAGCTGAGAGTAAAGTCTCCGATGGGGAGGTACTGTGTGAGGCTCCGCGTCGCGCGACCTCCTTCTTGTTTCTTTCTTTCTTTGTTTTTTCTTTTTTTTTTTTGCCCAAAACTTCGACGTAATTCTTATTCTTTTTTCCCTTCAGTACCCATTTTAAAAGATATTTTTAATTAAATTTTATTTTTAATAAAATAATTACTTATTTTTAAATTAATATTATTTTTTTATATTTATCTCTATTAAATATCTTATAATAAATATAAAGTTATTATCAATAGAATATTTTAAAAAATAATAATAATTACATCTTAAAAAATTAAAAATACATTATATTTTTAAATATTTAACTCTTTAAAAAAAACTTTACATTTTTCAAAGAAGTAATTCTTGTTCTTATTGTTAAAAATATTATCACAATTTTTTTAAAAAATATTATTGATTTAGCATAAGGTATAATTCTTCAGGACTAGGTGAATTAAGGTTAGAATTCTAGTAAGACGAGATATTTGTATTGAATACTCTCAAACATGGAAAACAATCAAAAAATATTATCACAAAAATCATCTACAAAGTGTAAACTCTCTAGAAATGGCTTCACATTGAAGGTTGAAAAAAAATCAAATTTCATAGCCTTTGATTTTTAATTATCCATACTCTTTTAAATGAATGATAATTAGGAGTTTTCTTGCGTTTAATGCCCATTAACTTAAAAATTACTTTTTTTTTGTAAGCTTACATTTTGTATATTTATTTCATTACAGAGTGATAGATCTGTAATCTATATTTTGTATATAGGTTATATTTTGTATATATTGACTTTGATTGAAATGAATGAACGAGGGAAATTTAAAAAAAAAATCTCTCATCCGGCCTATCCTCTTGCCAAGAATTAGATAGGGCTAAGCTTGTAATTTGGGTTTTTCAGAAGAAAATTGGGCTTAAAAGAGGCCACCTTAATGAGCTTGAAAATAAAAGGTTCAACTCTTTTATTGATATTTTTATTCCTTTTGAAAATTTAAAATAAATAATGTACAAGTTCAAAAACTAAAACAAGCCCCAGCACAGATTCATAATGAGACAGGTGTGCCTCATCCCTGCCCTAAAATCAATGTCCATTTTCTATTCCTTTAGATTGTGTTTGGATAAATGAATTTTGGTTGGAAATTTAAAATTGAAATCTCACAATTAAAATCTCACATTTGTCATAAATTTTAAATTTTTTGTTTGGATCTTAGATAAAATTCCAAAATTTAAATTCTATGTTTGGATTTAAAGAAAACTCAGACAATGTTAGTGGTTCGATCCTAATCAAAATTGGTGGTCTGGTCCTAATCAAGGGTGGTAGCTTGATCTCAATCAACTCTGCCTATCCAAACTCCAATAATGTCAATGGTACAATTTCGATCGAAGCGACAACTCAGTCCCAATAAACATCAGTGGTTCAATCCAAAACAATGCTTACGAATTAGCATGACACAAACTATAGTAATTTGAGGGCTGCAAATTGAACCTAGATGATGACACCAAACCATTCCCAATTAACAATGCGTGTTTGGTGGCAAAAAATGAAGGCAAACAGATCAAAGATGGTGATCATATTTGGAACCTAAATTGTGATGGTGGTTCAATCTTGGTTAAAGTCGACCATTTGGTCTTGGTCAGTGCTAGTCGTTTGATCTTGATCATAGCCTTTAGTCCGATGCTAGTCACAACTAGCGGTCTAGTCAAAGACGGCGATCTAGTCTTGGTTGATACCATCCGTGTGATCTCAATCAAAGTTAGTAGTTTGGTCCCTGTTAGTGTCAACCATTAAATCCCAGTCAATGCTGACAATACAATCCTCATGGATGTTGACCAGAGGCAACAATGTCAAACTTGAGAAGGTAGTGAAGTTAACAAAAGGACGTGAAGGAAGAGAGAAGCTTCCATTAAAATTTAAAATAATAGAGATTTAGAAAAAATTTGAAATTACAAAAAGATTGAGGTAGCATTTGAATTTGAATTGAGGTAAGATTTAGATTTGGATTGAATTTGGGTCAAATTCAAATCTACACATTTTTAATAACCCAAATAGTTAATTTGACTCAAATCCAAATTCTCATGCATCCAAACATAGCATGAAGGATATATAATTGTTGATATTCATGATATTATAATAACTACATTGACTTTAAAATCTAGAGTTGAGAAACGAGATAGACCCATAAATCAAGCTCATTTAAGCCTAAAATTAAGTAGGGATGTTCTTATAATTTGGCTCTATTTCTCATCTTTAACAGGCTTTTAATATGGATTCACATGTTTTGACTAAGTATAGAAGTTTTCTTCTTTTAGATAATGTTCAATCTATTATTTGTGTTTTATATTTCATTGCATGGTTTTGGAGTTGAAGGGCAATTTATATTACTTTTGTTATATAGTTGTCTATTATTTTTTCCATACATAAATTTTATATGTATTAAGTGTTTAAGTTTTAAAAAAACATATTATGGCCAACAACCTACAAGTAGAGCTAGTAGTTCAAATAGGCCCATTTGAATAAACTCAAACTTATAGAAAAGTTCAAATAGTCAAGCTTGATGCTAATATTTCTTGACATATTCATACCAACCTAAATACCTGATTCATAAAAAAAAATTATATTTTTTTACTTTAAAATTGATTATTTTTATTTTATCAAAAAACATTCAATTGACATTTAGGATACTTAAAAATCTAGAAGACTCAAAAAAAATTTTATAAAAAATAGTATGGGTCTTATATTTCAAAAATCAAGTAAAATTTATTTTAAACATTATTTTGAGATATTTTTTTAACTAAAAATATTAAAAAATATAATAATAGGAAAATTTTAATTTTTTTAAAAAAATATCTATGACAATGTATTCAAATATATGGTTTCTTAATTAAAATAGATTAAAACTTAAAAGAATTAATTAATATTTAATGTATAACATATATTTTTTCAAAAAGTAATTTTTGTTTGGGTATTCGAGTGAAGTCTAAACAATCCAAATAGACCTGAACATTAAATATATAATATTTTGCAAAGTTAGTTTATAGATTTTTCTAAGTTTATTTGGGGTGATTTGAATTACAAGCTCCACCCACAAGTAATGACAAACCTATATTTATGTAAGTGATTGAGAGTGGGCAAAAGTCCCCACTTACTTGAAAAAATGCATGTTTAGTATAAAAAAATTTTACACTTGCCCTACAAAATTTAGGATTTTAAATCCACTAAAATATCAATCTCCCTTACTTAAAAAAATAACATTTCAATGTAGTACTAAAATTTAATATATTTCTATACTTCAAATAGTGAGAATGCAAATATTATTAATTAATCAATTTCACAACTTAATCTTAATGTTAAACATATTGAATTTAAATAATAAATTTTCAAACTTTGTTGTTTTTTAAGGATAAAGGGGCAAAATTATTCATAAAGTGATTAGCCATAGGTACCCAATATCCTAAGGTGAGAAAAATGATAAAAATACCCATAGTGTTACATAGATGGGTGCAAAAGTAATCAAATCGTTAACTTTGACCTAATGCTGTTAACTTTGACTATTAAATACTAACTGTACATACCACGTGTCAATCTTTGCTAATTTAGACTAATAAAAAGGTAAAAATACTCATGAAGTTGTCGGCCAGGAGTAAAAATACCTATAAAGTTGTAGGCCAGGAGCAAAAATACTCATGAAATCATAGGCCAGAAATAAAAAATACCCATAACGTTATCAGAGTTAGTGTAAAAGTGATCAATCCATCCAATCCCTTAAATGTTTACTGTTTAACTAACATCTAAATAAAAGTTGACCATTTTTTTCACTGATGTAGAAAAAAAAATTCCTAGATGAAATTCTTTTAAGGTGAATCTGTAATTTCATGAATATCATATGAAAAAAATATCATTTTGACTAAATATCAAATTAAATCATTTCTTTCTTTGCAATAGTGGCGAATCATTTGAAAATTTTGAACCTATCATGAATGCAATTTGTAACCTCCCTAAGGTTAAACCACAAATTAACTCCAATCTCATAATTATTCGAGGTGTTAAAGAGAATTTCACAAAAATTATTTCACATGAATCCCAATTTGCCATTTCAAATCCCATACATAAATTTAAGGACCCCAAATTAGAGTTTTAAAAATAAAGCAGAAGTTTGAAAATCAATTGGGACCTAAATAATGAGTTTTAGAACTTAAAAACCATTTCTGTGCAGAAAATGACACGTGCGCCGTGGCTTATGGCTCGTGCGCCGTAACGTGTCTTCTCTGTGCCATATGCCATGATGTGAAGCGCCATGCGCCACGACATATTGCACGAAATTTGACAGATCAGTGCTGTCATTTGACAGCATAGGGAGCGAACTTTCGACACGTTCCAAATCTCCGTCCGATATCCGATTGAGGTGATTTCAGTGTCTACATGGAGCTTTCTCCTAACTCTAGCTAATGGCATCAGTTTCACACTCAAATTCACTTTTTATCAAAATTTGGACACCAAAACCCATTTTGACACATTTTCACAAAATTTTCCAAAAGGGGTGTCCTAACTCAACCACACATGCCAATAGCCTACACCAACCCTCTGACGACACTCAATGAACTCTTGTGGACTCGTGCAACACACCACATGCAATCAAGCACACTTATTTCATAAAATCATCACTCAACCCCAATTTTTACAAAACATAGGGGGGAGGAAAAGTTACACAAATTTAACCATTTCATTCATATTTCTCAAAAATACATATGTTCCTACTTGCACAAGTATTTTGGCCCTATCCACAAGTTCACAACAAAAACTACTAACTCAGGACACAAAATACACTAGTTAAACACAAAATCATGCAAGTAGTGTACCAATCATGACAATTAATCCTAGTTGACAATTACATTAACAAATATACATGTAAATAGCAAAAGAGAGGCAAATAAAGGATTTACTCCACCAATCCTAAGCCTCAGTATGTTTTTCCCAACTTGAATCTGATAAGCTAGATCCTGAAAATATTGAGAATTGAGGGGTAAGTAAAACAATTCAGTAACCAAGTTTCACTTAACCCTTATAGTTA